CATATTTAACTATATTTATTTATCATAATAATAATTAAATAGAAATCTATTTGTTTAATACTTACATTTAATTTAACTTTATTTAAATTTAATCTTCGTTAGACTCTTGCAAATAGAAAAATTTCTTTCAACTATAATAGTTAAAATAATTTTAATTTTGTTTTATTTTTGATAGTATATGTACAAGGGCTGATATGCTCATATTAATTAATTTATTAATTTAGTAAGTTCGTACTAAACGTGGAAGTTTTTAGCGAACAATAAAACTTTAATTTTTCTCGGTTACAAATTCAACAATAATAATGTCACATTATATAGTAATTTAATACATAATTAAATTTATATCTAATGTTTTTTATGCCATTATAATTAAATTTTTGTACGGTTTATTTGCTTTAAGTGCAAGAAAAATAAAATATTTGATTTAATATTGTCGAACTGACATATTGTAGAGGGCTAAAAAAAAAAATATTACTGTTGAGAGCAGATTTTCAACAATTGCGAAAATATTCAATCAAATAAGTATCAACTTTTCAAAATATTATTCTATTTATAACATCAAGTACACTTATTGACTCACCTATATAATAAACGACATGATATTACATCACTCACACAGTTTATGAGTTGTGACATATCGCACACAACACCATTTCCATACCTACCGACTTTTATTTTTTACTTCAATAATTTATACCACATACGTCTGCTATAATGACGTATTTTTAAATCGTAAACATGACTAACTGAAGTTTTCTGTAACCTAGATGCATCGTAAATTTTGATGTTTTGTGTACATTCCAACCATTAACCAGCCATCATGTGTTGTTACAAGTGAAATAATAATGTTAGCATTTTCTCGTCCACCTTCTTTTCAAGCTCAAAGAAGCCATACCTAAACAAACTAATTAAACTTCAAGTTTAGTTTTTCAATAAATTGCACACAATTAATTGATTAATTAGTCCATATAAATAACAAAAAGGGTTTTAACAAAATGAAAGCTGCACTACTCGAAAATACGAATGATGGTAAAAGTCTAAAAAAGTAGATACACTTAATACAATGAATACATCACTTAATGGAAAAAAGGAGCCTGAACCAGATACCACTTGCGGTTCTGAAGTTTCCATCAAACACCTACTGTTAGAATGTCAATTCAATAAAGAAAGAACGAAATTCAACATCTCAAATTGCCTCTTCGAATGCCTCAACAACAAACCTTTGAACATTAAAAACAAACTAGAATTTTTGTTTTTAAAACTTTTTTTAGATAAAAACAAACCGTGAAATGTCTTCTTATATCAGTGTTCCTCAACCGGGATTACATATCACCCAAGGGTGACATGGACGCTGTATAGGGGTGATACGAAATCTTCAAGGGAAAAGGAAAAAAATACGTGGAGTATTTTGATTTGCGAAATCGCTCCATTATCGATTATCTTATTTATTTAACCGGGGTCATTAGTCAGTTATTTTACAATCGTTAGATATTTAGTATTATAGCTCTAAAACTCTATAAAACAATAAATGACTCGGTCTTTCTACCGTCAGTCCTCGACTTTCTCAATTTTGTAAAAACTACCAGGGCCCAATTTCTCATCAGTTTTCATACAAATCATTATTATTTTTTCTCTTTTTTTTTTTTTTTTTAAATTTGCAAATTTAAACTTTAAATTATCAATGTTTTTTAAACCTTGCAACTCAAATAAATTGTAGTACGTGTACTAATTATTTTTCTGTGAATTGTACTTTTTTTTTTTTGTTATTTCGAGAATTATTCTAAAATACACAGTGAAGATTATTTATTATTTTGATGTTAGGGTAACGCGGTGTTTTATTCTAGTGGCTAAAGGTGACATGAACGAGAAAAAGGATGAGAATTACTGCCTTATAATATTAATTTGCTAGTCAGGTAAAATTATAGTTAGTGTAAGAGATTACAGTACAACTTCTGGAAAGGTAAATTATTATTTTATTTAGAAGTTTACCGAAAATACAAGTGCACAACTGAAATTTGGTTTATCGCATAGGTCATAGATAAAGCTACCTCAACATTTACTCGAGCAAATTTAAATTAAAACTAATCATTTTGGAATTTGAACATAGCGATAGAGCTTAAATACTTATTATTCGAACTTTGAAAATGTATTCAGTGAAATATTATCTGACAATAATGCTGATTTTACTTGAGTTCATCATTTACAGAAAGGTGGATTTTTAGTTGTATTAATCTCAAGTTCCGAAATGAAACCTCTTAATCGACTAATTTATGATTGTTTCTCATCGCTATTATTATACGAACACAACTAAACGTTATGGTGTACGAAAATTTATCTTTTTTTCGTTGTAAGCATAATCTATATAATACATTATTTTCAAAATCGTTCATACCGTTCAATCATTATGAACTTTGTACACGTCACATGATATATTGATATCTAAACAATAGTCAATGTCATTAGATAAAATATATGTAATATAATACATCGACGATTGATAAAAATTCCATATGGGTGCTGGTTATTAATATGTACTATGATAATATTTATGATTTACAAATAAGTAAGTTTATTGTGACCATCGACCTATTGTCAACTCAAACGACCACGCATATTTGTACAGGGGATATGTGGTAAACAGTATAAATATACAACAATATATTTTTTTTCGTTTGTGCGTAAGGTACTTTGCCGATTGTAGAAACGTAACAGTGTAAAAGTTTGTAAAAATATATATAATTAGTAGTTATTGTCGGTATTGGTTAAAATTATGTACATACCTTCTCAAGTTACGTATGTATATAAAATGTTTGCGTTGCTCGTATAATTTTGTGGTTACCTAACATTAATTGACGTCGGAAAAAATGAATACATTTTTTTAATATGACTTCGAGTTTCTATGAAACAAAAACATGATATTTAAAAAATATATCTACCAAGGAAATTCGAGATTATTGAAATATAAATAAAATTATCTGAAACTCATAATAATTTTTTACTTAAATTACTAGTCTAAAACGTTAATAGGAACAATTGTATGTATATGCGTACATGTCACTGTAAATTAGCATAGAACAGGGATAATATAATTGTATATTTACAGTGAAAATATAGTTTTAAAAAAAAGGAATTGTAAATTCGTAAATATATTTTTATAAAAACTTTAATTGAATGTTTAGCAACGTACAAAATATGTGTCAAACGTTAAAAAGTAAAATATATGTTTTATAACAGACATGGCTTAAAGATTGGTACACCTTAGGTCTATGTACTCGTATTATATTGAATATCAATCATATTATATGTAAACTGATATTGTCCATAGTCTCCATACACTTTGTAAAATCTAATAAAATATCTGTAATTTTCAGTAAAAAACTTCGCCTTAAATTATTGATGTATATTTAGGCAGGCAACTAAATGTACATAAATACATAAATAAAACAAAAAAAAGCTGTATTTTAAGGGGTATTCGGGAATACACAATAATATAAAAATAAATCTTACGAAATAATATAAGAGAAAAATGCATAAACCATTTAACGTTATTTGCATGAAAGTTGCGATGTTGTAAATGTATTTTGATGATAATTTATTATACGTAAAAAATGCGTTGAAAATTAAAATATTTTCATTCTGGGTTAAATTAAATCAATCTGGATTTAATTTGTTTTAAGAAGATTTAACAGTGATATTTTTAAGGCATCGAAATAATTATTATGAAATTTTGAATTGAAAAATCGTGGAAATGTTAACACGTGTTAAAAAAAATATATAGCTAAAAGTTATTTATGGTATATCGACAAGTGTCATTTTGAAGTTTTAATAATTGTGTTAACGAGAAATTTGTTTAAAAATATTTTCTATTATTCAAATAGTTTTTTCTATTTCATATTGTACGTCAGATATATTCAGTTATAAAATAATTTGTTGCACCCGGTAAACTGGATATGAAAACGTTAGATAAAAAATAAATACGTTTTTTATCTTGAAATATATTTTTACATGAAAATTTGTAACATATTTAACAGCTTGAATTAGCATAAATTTATTTATAATTAATTTACTCGTGAAATCTTATGAACTGTTTGATTAATCAGACACTGTGAACAATAAATATAATGTAATCAGTAGTAGTGTATATTTCATGAGTTTAAGTTCGTTATAATATATTATATCTATATATGTGTGTGTGTGTGTGTGTGTGTATACTTGTATGTATGTTGAGGTAGGTAATTTAATATGATTGGTTAACATGTAATATTACAAATTAATAATGTATACAAATCGAGTGCAACACAAATTACTATAAATTGAACATGTCATGCCTATATATATATATATACATATATACATCTACCTCAGATTCATAAACAAATATATATTTAAAAAAAATTAAATTTACCGAAATTGACAAGACTAAATTGGTTTCAAAAAATTCTGAATAAAATAATAAAATGAGCATATTTTTATTTTACACATTTCATCAAACATAGGTACACGTTTTTCCACACATAATCATTTTGTCTATGTTTCTTATACACAATATTTGTAGTAGGAAATCGTATTTTTCAAAATGATATAAAGTGTAACTGTGTATTAGTTCACAAATAAGTATTAAATAAAACATTTTATAATGATAATACTAACCATTGTCGGTAAACGTTTCATTTTATAAAATCACGTCGATATTTTTGTAAAACTGAATTTCCTTTCATTGACATAAATTCTACGCAAATACCTGTTTTAAGTATGGAAGTAGTCATGAATTCTAATTTTTTGCAAACGAAGTAATATATAATTTATTTATATTTTACAAATTCCAAAGATAAATATGTAGGAATTAAATTGTTTATGATAACAATATTTATTTAAAGTAACCTTCAATATTTATACACGATGAATATAATACTTAAATAGATTAGATTATACTTGTCATACGATGATATTATATGCTAATAAATTGAATATTTAATAAGTTATGGCTGTTTCTCATTTAATTTATCATAATGTAAATTACTATTAATTATGTATGAAGATAAAAGTATATTTTATTGCGTAATTCATTTCATTGCACAAATCCGGCACATGGTAAGACGTCATACTTTACTTATAAGCCTAAAAATACATATTTTAAATAAAATATATCTTAATTTTGAACTGCTAAGGCTTGAAAATTGGACACAAAATTAAGCACAAGGTTATAGCCGATCAAAAACATTTTACCGGAAGGTCACAAAATAATTTCTAAAGGTAAAAATAATGTTTTTTACTATTTTAACGAATTTTAATTATTCTATAAAAGTTATTTGTTTGTTATTATATAGATATTAATCGTAACGATTTAAAATATTTATTACATATATTAGAATTTAATATACATTTCATAATTTCCGAAATATTTTATTAAATACCTATTATATTATGTGTTGTTAGTAGAAACATGCAATTTTCGATTAAAAGTTAAACCTAACTAAGACATTTTGTTCTACTAATCAATCATATTTAAAAATATAAACTGATCCAATCGACCTCTTTCACTCAGAATGGTTTTTTTTTTCAGGACAATGATACATAGTTTTTACTTCAAAATACTAATACAGTCCTTGTGATATTTAAATTAAAAAGTATATTTTTGGTCCCAAGTATGTATTTATTGTAAGAACTTTTAATTTATTCATAATTATTAATTTAAATTTATACTTGGTATTTGTCTATAAATTAGTTTTATATTTAATTTTCTATTAATATTTATTTTATTTATGTTATGTAGCGGAATGCCCAAATTTATTACTAATATTATTTTTATGATTTTGTATCACTGCAACTCACAACTTAGCGAATGGAACGGCCACCACCTAACTTCTATTTACTGCTTACGATTTATTCTATTAATTTCTTTACAAAATTTGAAAATTTTTTTGATAGCTAAAAGGTTAACATTTCTCGAGTTAATGCCTACATATTCTAAATGTACAAATATAACAGGTCATAAAATAATAGAACAAATCAAATTTGATTACCATTTGTTAAAGTATTTATCACATGTGTATGAACGGTTCAATATTATCCTCGGATTTAATAATTGAATGAATAATGAACCATCATGGTAGTTATTTTTGTTATAAATATTTAATAAAAATTTTATGAAAATAGTTATAATTAAAAAGCTCATACATAAAAAAAAACTATCAATCATAGTAATAAGCTCTTTTTAATAACGGGATAAAAAAAAATATTTTCACAAATCAAATAGGGAAAACTAATTTATCGATGCTGTTTTAATTATAATTAGTGTTAAATATTGTGAGCACGTACAAAAATTAATTTTTACATAACTATGAATAATAGGTATAGTGTTTTAAAAAATTGAACAATTTCTAAAAAAATGTCTATTTCTAACTTAAACTTTAGATGCAACATCGTTCATGATATCAAGTGTCACGTGATTTTTGAATGTACTGTATTATAAATGTAATTATTTCTATTGAATACAAGTATTATTTTTTTCAATTGTTAATTAAAATGTAGGAAAACGATAAATCATAATCAATATTTTAAATTACAATAATTACATTAACGACTGTAGCGAGTTGAAAATTCTAAGTGAAAAAAAAGGAATGAACTGATTAATAATTTTTTTCTTTAATTTTTCCGAATACTCTTTTAGTGATAAACATATAAACCATACTAAAATTCATAGAGTACTTTTGCTTTTGGAACATTCTAGAAACAGGTAATTTTGTGATTTGTTTAGTTTATTTTTGTATACTTAGTAAATATAAAAAAACATTACAACGTTTTTTAACCATATGTTTACAATTTATACTTTTATTTTATTTTGTTATTTTCTAAAAAAGTATTTACAATCTGTAATTGATGTACAATACAATAAGTAAATTTAATGACTATGTACAGAATGTTTAACATGAAATGACGTGAGAGGGTAGATCCATAAATATGGAAACCCTCTAACTTGAGTGAGAGAAGATTTTTTTTAAATTAATTAATGTCGGTCGGGATTCAGGAGATTTCGACACCAATAAATTTTTAATCAACATGGGAAGTTATTTGGCATGAATTCATTGGCTAAGTTAGAAATCAATGGATTTGTGTGGTTAACTGTTTTGGTGTAGAATTTTTTTTAATAATTTTTAGCCTTTTTAAAGATTGTTTCAATTTTAAGATATTTATGTAGTGTGAGGTTTGAGACATACCACATTTATACTTAATATTAAAACTAGGTATCGGAAAACATGACTCAGTTAATATACATTTTCTTTATTGAACCTTAAAAAGAAATTATTTTGCGTTTTTAGTTACTATAAAGATACTTTTAGAAAAAATGAATGTAAATTATAATTTTTTGAATGATTATACGTTTTTTGAGTCTAACCATGTATACTTTGAAATTAGGTTTATTATTATAAAAACACTAACATTAATATACATCTAGACTCTTATATAGACATTTATAATAGCTCAGATAGATTCAAAGTTAATGAAAGTTATTGTTGTAATTACCTATATAAATTCTCAATACAACAAGACAATTAATGGTTAATGTATTTGTGAAGATGGGCGTGCATCTGTTTTACATTATTTTAGATATAGCTATTCAGATGATATTTCTAATTATTATATATTCTTGTTAGATATTTCAGTTTCTAGTTGCAAATTAGAGTTTTCTGGTTTCAGTTCAGAAAATTATATTTATAAAAACATTAGAAATCTAAAATTTAGACTATATTGATAATTAAGTTCTATTGATACGTGATAGAATATTATATAATATGTGTTTTTTTAAATTCAATTTAAAATTTTAATTTATTATTTCATAATAGGTTATAAAAGAGTATGAAATTATTGATGTCTAATTTTCTATAAAACGCATTTTAACAATTGAATTTCTTTAAATAATTATTGAAATTTGTCTACTTTATTTCCAAGTAGACAGCAGGATTTTAGAAATACTATATTATATTATAGTTGACGGTGCAATATTTTAAAGCTCAATTAATCATATTTATATAACTTTTTTGTTATTTTTTTATTGTTTTTAATAGATATTTCTAGAATATTTAAATTAAGAGCTAATACTCGAGTTTTTACTTTGTTACATATTTAGTTTTATTTTTAATGTTTTCATTGAAATTTAAAACGTTAACCAGTTATTTATACAAACCTAAATAGTTATTGACTTTATTTCAGAAAAAACTGATGTTACTTTAGTCCATAGTCAACTATTGACATTTTTATGGAAATTATAAGCCATATTACTTTTAAATTATACGTTTATCTATCATTGCATTAAAAATTTTGCTGTAAAAATGTTTTCACTCAATAAATATTTGTAAACATAAGTGTACATAATACTTTTTTGGAATATTTGAAATTCTACCAAAGCATTAAACGCATATATATATATTATAAGGCAACTTAATGAGCATTTTAAAATTGTTATATACATTAATGGGTAAATATTATCATTAATTAATTAATAATTGGACTTCATGTTTTACTACTATACAAATTGTACTATGATCTTTTTCTCACTTGAAAATTATTAATATATTAAATGTTATATGAGTACACCTATAAGTAGTTTTATTTCATTTTAAATTTGAAAACTCATAATTGTAAAAAGAAATATTATATTTGGAACCAGTATATTGTTGTTCTGGTATTTTTTTTAAAAAAATCTGTTATTTGTCAAAAATTGTATGTTACAGTGAAAAAATAAAGTAATTAATTCAATTAATTCAATAATTATTCTTAATTGAATTTACAAAATATTAAATTGTATTTGTTATTTTTTGATATAATTATAGATTTTAACTCATGAAATTAGGGAATAGTGTAATGGAATTATTAATTGGCTGCCGACAGTCCTGCTTTAGTTAAGTCACTTTTCCAATCATAGCTAGAGGTCACCCATCTGAGTATTTAACGGTATAGCACATAATGTCCTGGTTCACACCTAATTGAGTCTTTTTAAAATAATTGTTGCGATGTACCTAATATACTATAACAAATAAACTGAAATCTCTTAAAAAAACATAAACCTGGGATATTTATGTATTATTATTTAAGATTGTCTTTTAAGTACTTGATCTCTAAAAACGAAATTTATATTTTTAATTACTGTTCAATCCACAATAATATTTATATATTAATATGCTTATATATTACACATAATTTAGTATTTTATACTTATCAATTATCATTAAGTAACCCATAAATTAAAATTAATGGTGGGTAGCTGAAATTAATTTTAACTATTTCTACCGCACCGCATAGCTCTCCTTTTTATTATAAAAATTATTATACATTTATTATACTAGTGACCTATTAATAATAATAATAATTGAATTGCTACGCATTAGACTTATTAGAAAATTATGATTATCAAAATAATTTGAAAAAAGATATATAAGAAAATATCAAAATATTTATTAAATCGATGGTATAATGGTTGACTAACTACCTCCGTCTGTAATAGTATAATCCAAAATAAATATCACGAATTAAGAAATGAAATTATGAATCACATCGAATCTATTATTCTAATTACGATTTTTATCGGTATTATATAATAATAATTTTTTTAAATTATCTCAATCGGGTTGGAAATTCAGTTAAACTGTGACGTATGTTTCGAGTATCTCGAATTAATATCTATTAGTATTATACCACATAGTGCGTCCGAAAAAAAGCTATGACCAAGTTGTATTCCAAATTATAAAAAATTTATTTTATTTATAGTCCGTATGCATCTCAGTTCATTTTATATTTTCCCTAACGTATATTACAAGAAGGCGAAAAAATTGGTTTATATTGTTGTCTTACAAGATTATAAGATTATTGGATTTTCAGATATATGTTATTAAAATATTTTCAAAATGAATAGAATAGTAATTCAAAAAATAATATCAGTATATTGACAAAGTTATACCACAATCTCATCTGACGTACTAAGTATACGAACAATACTTATAAAATGGGTATAGTTGGGTATATACACCAGTGTATAGTTGTACGGATTAAAATATATTTATCTATTTTGATGTTTTTTTTCGTAATTTTTACTGACGATAAAATTTTTCATACTAAATAATCTGATATTTTTAATATGTTAAATAGTTAAATATTTTATACTGATATCATTAGACACACACAGATATGTAGAATTGTAGACAAAATATTGTTTAACTAATACAACTGTATCAACATTATTATATGTAATATTTATTTGAAAAATTGGAATAATACAAAAATATTAACCGTGATTTTATAAAGTTACAACAAAAATATTTTCCTGCACACAATTTAACTGCTAATGATTAAATGTTTTTATATAACTTTTTTTTTTTATTATTTAACCTAACTGTAAAATTTAAATATTATCATGAATCTCCCAGCTAATTATAATTTAGGTTAATTTATATTTAAAAGCAATTTCGGTACAGCGAATTCGGATGTTATTAAGTTCAAGTTTATTTTTCAATAATTAAATTAAGAACCTTAAAAGAATATAAACGAAAGAAAAACAAAATAATTAATGGCATTAATGTTCTAATAATGTTCGAACATTGTAAAACAGTATTTTTTATTTTTAAAAAATAAACCTATTGGGATATGTCCAACACATTTGATTTATTGATGTTTCTTTTGACCCGACAAACAAATTAATGTATTTATGTAATGGATTCGACACTAATAATTTACTCTCAAAATAAAAATGCAGTATGAAACAAAAATTATTATCCTAATATTTCATGATTTATTTGTTTATACTAATCTTCTTATCAATGTGTTCAAGAATCTTATGTTGTTTTCACAACCTTACCGCCAACATAAAAACACTTTTTGAAAAAAAATATTTAATTAAAGTGTCTAGGTACGTTGTAGTTAATGGCCATTTTTTATTTCTGGAAGGTTGTTCACTTTTTTACCGATTTACTTATAAGCGTAATGAATTAGGTACCTACATTGTCACTATATAAGTTATTCTATCAATATTATACGCATGCAGCAAACTTAATAAATAAATAATAATATAATTTAAAGCTCAGTATCAATCACAAATTAGTAAAAATCATCAGTTTTATATAGTGGAAAAAACGAAAGGATTTACGACGCATACAAGTTGTGTTTATTAGAAAATATACGATTATACCAAACCTATAAATATATGTAAGAAAATATTATACGCTTCTTGGTTTTAACATACGCTATACACGGTCCCGGGTTAAGGGGAAGGCAAAGGGGGGCAGTTACTCCCGACGGTAATATTTTAGAGGCAAATATTTCTTTATGGCAAAAACGGAAGTTTTGAAGTTTCTTAATGTATTATAATTTTTAAGAAGAATTATTAATCATTGAAGAATATGTACAACAAATAATAATAGTAATATATTATTATATCGCCTACTATTTTTTAGTGAACCCCGGCACAAAGTGTGCAGTCCGAAATTGAAAGTGTGCACTACGGATTCAAAAAGTGTTTACTTACTAAATACTAATAAATAGGACTACTATGAAGTTGTTTTTCAGGAAGCCAGTTTAAACAAGATAACTGATAAGGACTTAAATATATCTATTAAATTGTAAGTTATAAATCCCACATTAAAATAAATAATTTATTGATATTTTTCAGATTTATACGAGACACAAGTATATTTTCAGTTTAAAAATATTAACAGTTACCTTATACAAATGTGTAATTTGATTAACAAAAAAGAACTATAACAAAAAATATTACTGACTTTGTACTAAAAGTTATAATCATTTATGGAAGTGGTATACAGGGGGGCTCTGTATCATATATATTATATTATTATACATTGCAAAATGTGTAGTACGAATTTTTATAAAAAATAGGGGCTGTGCCTACCGCAGAATTAACAGGTGAACAAACGTTTAGTTTATTATTAGTATGACCATAGGTGCAATTTGGGGTGGGGGGGGGCTTGGGTGTGCTTAGCACCCCCATTTTAGAAATTAGCACCCCCAAATGTGTTTATGTTAATTTACATTTAAATACTCATTACTCATTATGTATAGAAAAACATAATAGTTTTTTTGTAAAAATATATAAATTTTTATGCAATACGGAAATATTTCGCAATACGAAAAAAAAAATATCTTTACCATTGGGTAAAAGTTTTAAGTTTCTTGCCACATTACTTTTGGAATTATGACTAAGTAACTAAAATTTGAAATGTGAAAGTCTTGTTTACAGAATATTTTTACCATTTCAAGACAGTTTTTTCCTCAAGTCTATAAAAACTATTAAGATTTAAAAAAAATTACCACCGAATGCCAATTTAAAATCTAAAAAAGTCCTAAAAAAACTTTTGGACCAGTATTTCTATCCGAAAAAGTGTTTAACAAATAAAATACAAACATCATAAAACCATAATATCCTTCGCTTTAGTCAAAATCTAAAAGTGATCATTTGATAAGACATTTGTGTTTACAGACAGGTAATTCGTTATACGCACAATAAAAATATAAAATCAAAGTGAACAATTTAAATTTAGAAGTATTCATATATTTACCAAATATTTTAGTAACTATTGAATTCAAGGCCGTAGCTGGATCAAATTTTTGGGGGCAGGGTTTTAAACTAAGTCTTATATTTTTATATAATAGTTAAAAAAAACATTTATATACCAAACAAAAAAAAAATTTTTTTATTATATTACATGCAAAGAGTACAAAGTAATAACACACATATTTTACAAAATAATATACAAATTTTTACAATACAAAGTTTATTAGTCTCTTTTTTTCTTTTGCGAAGCGATCGATAACTTCATCTGGATTGATTTGATTTTGTCTGTGCACACTTAAAAGTGCTAACTTAACCTGTGAGACGTTCTTGGCCTGTAGAGTTTCGTAAATAATTTTTTAATCTTCTCATGGTTAGCTTGTATCCCATTCAAATTTCCGCTCATTGCAGCCGCCCCATCATACCCTTGCCCTACTATATATTTTGGATTTATACTTAGAGAATTAAGAATTTCTAAAATAGCATTTGCTAAATTTTTACTAGTTGTATTTCCTACTGGCACAAATTTTAAAAAATATTCGCGTAAAATAAATTTATGTTCAGAATCTTCATCAACGTACCTAACACAAAGACATTTATTCTATTCACGATATATCAGTCGTTTCGTCGACTAAAATTGAAAATGATTTTGCTCTATTTATTCTATCCACTAAACAATCTTGTATTATTTTTCCAATGATACCAATTAAATTATTTTGTGTGGTAGGACTTATATACGTAGCTTTAAATGCGTCATTTTCAATACTATCAGTCATCATTTTATCACCGCAATTCATTCGCATTCGCAAAAGTGCTCTAAAAGTATCATCATTGTGTATTAGCTCATTAAGTGTTAGTGGTCCAGCGTCAGATGTACCACGGAGGGCCAATTTTTGACGGCCACACAATATTATGGTTTGAATAATCGGTATTAATTTTTTTCTATTTTCAGCGATTTGATTAACACGAGCGGAATCAATTTTTTGACAAATATCTAACTGTTGGTTGGAATATACTGAAATAAAATTCTCTGCAAAATATTGGTTGTTTTTATGATACTCCGTGTTGCTATGTGTGTTAAAAATTTCAATCGCATTTTTCCATTTATTAAATAGTTTTGTAACTAATACTCCTGGTTTTTGATGTGCACCTTTACCAGTAAGATTATGATGATAGCACAATATTTACATACCGCTCCAGAATTTTGCATATTAGTGTAACATAACCAGGGGAAACGTTTAATCCAATTTAATTGAAATTTTAAATTTCTTTTTCCCGATATAAGGAAATTTAATTTTTCATCAGGCACTAAAACATTAGTAAGTAACTTGTATTTTAATTCATCACTAACCTTTTGATCGAAACGACAACCAATATCGGCAATATTATAAGTCAATTTTTCTGGAGATTTATCTGTAATTGTTTGTATAATTTCAGATAATAATAAAATAATTTCAAATAATAATTTTTTTATTTAAATAATTTGTTAAGGTATTTACAGAACTGCTCTTACGAGTAGACATTTTAATGTTTATTGAAATAAATTAATAATAATTCAACGCTTAAATTTTAAACGGGCACGCATACACAGATGGCCGCACAGACCAACAGTGCACAAAAAACTGATTGGAATATTTTGTTCAAAATTACAAAACTATTTAGGTACGAGTTTGTTGTAAGAATACTTTCTTGTAAGAAAAACCAGGATTCCGGGAAGCACGTGGTGCGAACGAATAAAACAATGAGACTAGTTCGTGATACGCTGCCGCCATACCAATCTATCTGATGACGACTATAATGAACTTTGCTCTTGTGTCACAGGCAACACGATTACACAGATAATAGGTATACCTACTAAACGACGATAATCAACTCATACACTCCAGGACGATAAAAGTATTATACAGTGGTCGCCGCTTATAATGATCTTATTCGTTTGAGAGAACTGTGATCATTATTACCAGAAATCACTATAAGCGGCGACTCAAAAATACATTTTTTTTCACTAATTTAAAGCCTGCTCCTACTAGCCATAATACAGTATACAACTACATACTATACAAACAGTACACTGAACGACGGACGAAAACAAACTGGGTGTAAAGTGTAAAAATATCGGTGCTTGTGAGAATAAAAACGGTTTCAAACATGTACGAATGTACGCTATGAAGTGTCGCTTATTACGTGGGTTACATTAGATAAGATAAGCTCGATTAAAGTTCACGATTAAGATAATTGTCATTCGTAATCGTTTTCCCTATACACATAAAGAGGTGATATTATTGTAAATTATACTTATATTTTATATTTCTGATGATTATTTCTGATCACAATAACCGAAAACCTGAACACTGTAAGCGACGAAAAATGCACTTATAACGGCTGTTTGTTCCGTTCCTGGCATTTTTTGATCACTATAAGCGGCTGATTCTTATAACCAGTGAACACTATAAGCGACAATCACTGTATATCTGTACAAAAATAACTAACTTGATACAGGTTATTTTCAACAAGTTATCTCGTTAATAATAAAATTTCTCGAAACATAAATATATTTATATGTAAAATTACACATAGTAAACATTAAAATTACAGCAAAATTCATATTCGAATGAAAAAATTTAATTTTTAATTTTTTAAAATATTTCGGGGTGGGGGGGTTTGAACCCCCCTAAATACGGCCTTGATTGAATTGTACGGTTTGCGGGTGTTTATAACCATTAAGGAACATGAAAAAGATAGAAGGGCTTCGGCACCCTCAGTATTTTCATTGAAATTGCGCCCCTAAATATGACCATATTATAATTATAGCACTCGGAATTTTCTATTTTCGTTTGTATCATCGTATTATTTTCGAGTATAAATTGTTTACAATATGTTGACATTAGTATACACTCTGACGCATAATCATACTTGTTGTATATCGCTGTATTATAGTTTTATAAACATCAACTTACAAAAATTAAATATTTAAATGTTATATTACATTTTTAACGATTAATTTCTACACTACCAAGTAATTTTTTTTTTATTTTATCGTCTATTCGTCTTTCGAGTCTTGTATACCATAGTCGTAGTCTTGTCAACTGTCAAGTCATATTGACTTACAACTAAGCAGGCTTAATATTTCCTAATAGCGGTTTATCTTCAATTAATATTTGAGGAAAGCGCATAAAGTTAAATGATACTGGATGTTTATACTTAAAACTAATAGTTCAATTATATTAAAACAACCGATGTTACTATATGTTAACAAATATAGATCAATTAAACAATTTTAATGCTGTTGTTATTTATATGTTTTTTTTTGCGTATAATGGTATAATGGGTTTGTAAAGAACGGCATTTCCAAATCTTCCTTCAGGCAGTACATGCGTTAACCTGGCCCTGATTAAACATCGAGCTATCTCACGAGGAGAGAGACAACAAAATAGACTTCAAATTGAAACATTTATTTCACACAATTAAAACTGAATGAGAAAACAGTGTTTCGCACGGGCTGTGTACAAATATTACCTAAATGCGATTCAAGGAAAAACAATTTGAGTCACCAATGGTTGTACAGCAATATATAGGTATGTGCGATTGGCACGCAAGTCGGTATCAAACGTTAACAGTAATAATGGTTAGAGCAGTTCTTTCGTATGTAGTGTGTTCAGATAACATTTATTATTCAACTACACTCGTGTGCATTACAACAAAATCAATGATGGCAGTACGTATCCGATATATATATCCGAGGAGGGAGGGGGGAAAAGAGTGAAAAGGAATATTATATACCAGTGGCGTAGCTAGGATTTTCTGAAGGGGGGTGTTAATTATAATTATTAAATATTATATATAATACGTACAAACTAAAACTTTTATTTTAATAAATTAATATGTATACATAATGTCTGTAATAGAGATGTAATGTATATTCGAATTCGGATAGCTTTACCATAAATCATTCGAATATCAGTATTCGATGCTACAATACCTATTATTATTAAACGTTTTGTGTTGCACGAAAACGTAAACGAATAATTTTCGTCACGTATTGTCGCAATCGCGATAATGTTAACCTGTATATATGTAATTAGTATTGTGCATTATTTTATATTTCATATTGTATTATCGATTTACCTAGACTCCTATAATAATGTAATACATGATACGGATCAAGGGGGGTGTCATATCTACCAAACACCCCCCTTGTATACGCCACTGTTATATACTACTGTTTATTATCATAGAACACGTTAGCCTATACAGTGTGTTCGATAGTAAATATTCGTTGTATACGTATATCTGTGTGTCTGAAAAAAAAATATAAAATAAATGTGTGATAAATAAAAGCCCGAGGGATCGCCCCAACGTCCCCATCTGATAATACCTCCGTCCGCGATACACGGCGTATACGTATGAGGAAAACTGTAATGAAATGCATTTGCACAACAAAGAACACCGCGGTTTGAACGTTTGTAATTACGTCGTAGTCAGTGTTTAATGTTGACGGGCTACCGGACGATTCGATTAGCGGAACGCCGTCCGCACGTATCATCATAATTCGTAATATGGTTATTTCGTGCGCGCACGTTTTCCGTTCGGGGCGATCAATCGATAGTACGCGCGATGTACTCGATAGCGAAACGCCACTATCGACGGACGTTTCGATTGTGCGTGCGCCAACGGTGTTTATTGCGGTTCGCGTTCCGTCACCGGCAGGTTAACAGGTGTTCGCCGTACGATCCGCGACCTGAACCGCGCGGCACCGGTGCAGCTTTTCGTTTCACACGATTGTGACGATTTTCCGGCCGCGGCATCGAGAAAACGGCTTTTCACCGAATCCGTCCCGCGGTGTTCGCGCGAATCGTTCGGACGCGCGTTATCCGTTACTCGGAACCCGGGATCGGCCGTCGACCCAGACGGTGAACACGGTAAACGGTTCGCCGACGACGACGACGACGACGAGAGACGGGGAAAACGTCACGGACGGGAGATAAAAAAAAAAAAAAAAGCGACAATAGCCTGTCGTCCGGGGAGAAGACGATCGTTTGTACGAGCGGTCGCCGGCGAAACGTTTCCGAGCGGTTTTCGGTTAGCCGAGCGCGCGGCGTTGCGGACAACCGCGGCAGCGCACCGACAGAGCGCACCGTTGCGTCACGTCGAAATCCCCGGCTCGGTACACGGTTAGGTTGATCGCCCCGTGATAACGGCACGAGAAGTGGTACCGCAGAACGGTGACGGTGATAGTGCCGCCGATACGTTTTTTCTTATATCAGTTCTTCGATCAGTCTTGCGGTTCAATCGGCCGGCTTTGGGTCTGTCGCACTGTACCGAATGCTCACAACTCTTCGCACACGCACTGCTTTCGTACGGATTCGGTTTTTTTTTTTTTTTTCATTTATTCATTTTTTTTTCTCACCATTTTTATCTTCCTACGTCGATACGATACGATAATTTTTGCGAATGTTCACAAACGGATTTTGAATCGTATCGGTTTAGTGAACGAACGTGATTCTGATCTCCTTCTGACGAAACGAAACATGTGGTAACGCCACTGTTGCAACTGTACTGTATCCAATGTAAATTATTTTCTGTCCACTCCAGGTAGTATCATGTTATAACCGACACCGACGAATTCGGTACGTTTTGAGTGCACACACATTAATGGTACTCTCACGGCGTACTCGTGGATCTGTCTAACGTTATTGTCTTCTTTGTTGTTGCCGGTTCAAACATCGTAGAGTAGTTTCAATACGTTTAGACGGTAATACGGTTGTATCATGGCCAATAAAATGCGATCGAAGAATCCTCCCGAGAAGAAAACCTCTGTGGTGGTCAGCAAAGGGCCTCCGGACGGTGGTTGGGGCTGGTTCGTTGTGTTCGGATCGTTCATGATTCACATAGTCAGTAAGTACATCGATTTCTTATTTTTTCTACATCCGTTGTAGGTTATTTTCTATGAAATAATATGCGTTAATTTCCCATTTCCTTTGTGGTATTCACGTTTTAGATTATTCTATTTTCGCCGTTCCCGATTTCCATTAATTTCGTTTACATCGCGTGCTTGGCACTCGGCCACTGTGCCCGATTTAATCTGTTTTGTATTTATTATTATCATATTATCCTTCATACATTTTCGTTTTATTAATATAGTATCACTTTTAGTCCAATTTGAAATATTATAAAATTGTAAAATATTTTTAATTTGAATTTTTCGGTTAAAACTAGCGGTCCCTATTTCACGTGTACATGTTTCCACTTATTCGCTGAAATTAACATTCGGAATTATTAAACTGTGTTTTTAAAAAATCCGTGTACACGTGTAATTAATTCACGTGTACACGTGTATTCATGTATACATAGGTTAAAAAGTTGTAGTACTTCTTCTTTGTTACATATAATAATTAGATTTAAGACAGGGTTGAGGAATAACTATTTTCGTGAAGATATACATTAATTAATTATAATAAATATAAAAAAAAAGTAATAATAAATATTAATAATGGCTGCAAAATTTTAAGAAATATAAAAATCAAATATTTTATATAAATTATAAAGCTCGAAACAACATTGTATAATTTTTTAAAAGTTACATAACTAGATTTATCTCAGAATTACAGGATCAAGGAATACTTTTTATAGTACAGATATACATTAATTAATTATAATAAATACAACAAAAATAATAAATTTTAACAATGGCAAAATGTTAATAAATACAAAAAACAAGCGCGGAATAATATAAATAATAATAAGAATACTATGGTGTTAAATGTGTGTTCTGATAAATGAAAACTAACAAATTGACATTTTTTTGTCAATGACGATGTTTTTTTAGAAATGACCACGTTCCCAGCAGTTGAAAAACAACGCTCGGAACTTACTGATGTGGCTGATATTGATAAATATTGTTTGCCCAATATTGCAATTGTTGAATATTTTCTTCCCTAAATTTCCACCATTCAAATGGGTTTAAATCAAATTTTAACTGAGTTTCGGCTAATTAATTTTAAAATTCAGTCATCAAATCGTTAACTTCAGAAATATCATCACCGTACAGGAACTGAAGCGCCCTTTTTTTAAGCAATAGTTCGCGTTGTGTATTTACTATACATACATTATGTACATTTGTATTGTTTAAAAAATCGATGGCGGATGATCGAATGCTTTCTCGTGCAGTTATGGGTTCATGGTTCAAATTTTTATACCGTGAATCTAAAAATGACGCGATTTGTCGTATTGATCCTGTGTTTTTTAAATTTCACTCAAATTTATAACGTTCTTTAATATCAGAAATAATTGTTCAAAATGGGTTATACTTTGGTCGTCACAATCCTGTAGTTTCAAATAGTTGCCCAATATTATTTTAAGCAATGGTCCAACCATTGAAGTAGGTGAATGTTTTTCTCCACATAAAAGCGTTGTAATAACCTTAAATGGCTTAAGGAGAGTATCGAGAATTTCTATTTCCAACCATTGTTGCTCTGAAATTTCTAATTTTTGGGCTATTTGTGTGGAAGTTATCGTTCGAGCAGCAATCACATTAATAATTGAGCACCTATTTTTAATAATACGTTCAAGCATTAGACAGATTGAATTCCAACTTATCTTGCAACATTACAACGAAGACTTTTGAGACATACCTAAGTGTTTTTGTTTATTTAATAATGATTGTTTCGCCAAATTTGAGTGTTTAAAACAGGGGCGGATCCAGAGTTGGGGAACTGTGAGTCAAGCAATTTCAAGATGCCATTTATTAGGAATGAAACTGAATTAGAAATTAATACCTTGTAAAAAAAAAAAACACAATATGCTCATAAAAGAGTATAAGTATATTTATATTACATTTTAGAATTAGTGATACCACCGATTATAATTTATTTACGATTAATAAATATAATTTAATTTTATCAGCGCAACAAACGTACGGAATAAAATATGATTTATTTAACTTTCTACTAAAATGATATAATTTAAAATATAAATTATGAATTGAAAAATTTTAAATTTTGAGTATAAATGGCATTCATTTTTCAAGTAACTCCGATGGGCCAACTGTCCAAGAGTCCAAATCAAGGTCTAAAAAGAGAAAAAAATTTCCAAAAAGCCAATTTTGTGAACAAATATTAACTGTGGGTTAGCTGACCCCCTGAACCCCTCTATATCCGCCCCTAGTTTAAAATGACCTAATAAACTGCTGATTAGCTTAATTGTTTCGAAAATGTAATCCTCTTTTAATGCTTTATGTATACAAAGTTGTAAGCTGTACATATCACATCCGAAATGTTAGCGTTTCTTATACAAAAAAGTAATTGACCAACGTTTACTGCATTTTTAGCATTATCTATAATAACAGTCGTGAATTTATCCTTAATTTCCCATTTGGAGAATGAATTTTCTAATTCTTCAGAGATATTTAAAGCGATATGTCGTTCTTCCATTTCTTCAGTAGTTTATCTAAATGACATCAGAAATCAATTATTAAACTTATAACAAAAGTAAATAATAATCAGTTAATTCAATCAACAATCGCTGTACGTAAAGGCCAGTCTGTGTATCCGCACGGCCGTGGGGTGTATTCGTGAATAAGTGAATACGTGAATAACACTTAATTCACGTGAACACGGGCTTCGTGTTCGCATACATATTAATTCACGGTTATAAACCCTATCTATTTAAATAGTTATTTGAATTGTTGTATTTTATGAATTTATAATTTTGCTAATTGGTCAACGAAATCAATAAATTATGTTAAATTTATTTTCCCCGGTTTTTCTGGATGTAAGTGTTTTTTAATAGTATTTAAAACATTAAACTTTAAAATTTAATGTACCTGGTTTGATTTTCTATTTTTCCAAAAAATAATTCAACACGAGAAAAATAATTAAGTATGATTTTCAATAAGTACATTTTATAAACAGCAAAGTTTTTAAAAATTATTGCCAACAATGAAAACCGTTATGAATCATGTGTTTACCTTTTACTTGGATTATTTCCAATAAATATATATTTCCATTATAACTACCTAATACATTTTAGAATATTAGAATACTGGATATTATATTTTTTTTCCTTTGAATTAATTTAGTATTATGATAAATTAATAAATTATTTATTTAAATTAAGTAGCTATTTATGTATTTTTAAAATATTTAAATTATTAAAGCTATAATATTTTTAAATTTTTGAAAAGTTGTTTATATTTTTTTTTTTTTTATACAACTATTATTTTATAGTAAGATTTATTTTACAGTAAAAATTTAGCTGATTTATTTGAATTATATTTATAAGTTAGATTGTACATTTTAATTTAAAACAAACTTAGTTGTATTAATGAATATAAATTACAAATATACATTTTTATTATATTTATATATATATTGACATATGATCTAAAGTTATTTACTATCTGTGTTAAATATTTATTAATAGTAGATCATTTACAAAATTCACATTAAAACAAAAATTAAATAATTTATATGTATCTATGATCTATAATTTATGAATGTATATACTATTTTTGAAAGAATAATTGTGAAGTTGATATTTCATAATTTCTTTTAGTCTTGAAAATTATAAGTAAATTTAAGTTTGCCATCATATCTATTTATATTTTAATAACTATGGGTAATCTTATAGATAAGTCTTGAATATGACCACAATAAAAAATATTTTATTATTTCAATTAATACTATTTATACATGTGGTATAAAAATGTAATGACATTTGAAATAAGTTTTGTTTACACTCAATGTGCCAAATGTACAATAATATACAGTTCAAACTACTATTTTTTATAAAATATAATTATATTGGAGTTTAAATATATTTCATAGTATTTGTTGTATCTATCTAGTATTTTATGCATTGTTATTTGTGATTACCTATTATAATAAACAATTATTTCAATAAAAACTATTTTTATATTAAAAAAAAATGGAACATAAGAAACTGTAGTATTTATTAAGTATTTATGTTTTTTAATTTTGTTGAAAACTTTTATTGTTTCAAAGTTCTAACATTATTATTTATAAAAAAGGATTTATCTCGCCAATTCTACTAACAAGTATAAGCTAGGTCAATTTTTATCACATAATTAAAATGTTATATGTTAAAATATAATTATTAATAAATACGAACATGATAATATTTGTCTTTAAATATGTCTGATTTTATTTTAAAACGTATTTATTAGATTGATTAAATAGAAACGCTTGGTTGTTGTAGAATGACATTTTCTGAGATCAAGTTTAAATATGATAATGATAGACCTTAAAGGTCAGATATTATTAAATTCTAATCACAAATTTCTTGACAGTTAAAAAGAATTGATAAGAACCTAAGTCTAAAATAAGAAACTATAAGTATATACATATATGTTATACATTCTGATATACATGTATATCTACATAGGTACTAGATATGAATAACATAAGTAACGATCGATAAACATTAGGTATGTGAAAATTTTAATTAGTTGTTTGCATGAGAGTTATAATTTAACTGGTCTATATGTATATTTTATAAGAAGCAATTATTTAAACCATATACATACAATTACTTCTATCTTATGTATTCAATAATTATTTCCTATTGCTCAAATTTTTTTATAAATAATCATTTTTTATTATTTAGTTTATAATTTTCTATTTATTTTCATTATAATTCGTGATTTATCAGAAATATTTCAAATATAACCTGAATAAGACTAGCTTGTCACCTAGTCAATTTAGTAAACATTAATATTTATTATAATTAGCCAAGCCAGTATTATTTTAATACTTTAAAATATTTCCAAAATATTTTTTTTAGTTGATAAAAATCATCCTGATAAAGTAGCTGTTAGTCCATAAGTATTGATTTTTTTATCAACCATAAAAGAAAAAAACATTGTTAATAAAATCTGCTTTGATGTAAATATTTACAAATCAACTTTAATCATAATGTTATTTATAAATAAAATTTGTATAAATATAGCAAAGTAGATTACATATACAATAAAGTTTTCATCATAATGTCTTGTATACCACTACATTTTGCATACAATTGGATTATTTTTAGACATTATTTTTTGGAAAAAAAATAATAATAATTTTAAATTGCTTGTTAATGGTAATATTTAATCTTAAGAATCATTATATTTTGCTATGGGTTTTCTTTATAATACATTACTGTTTAAAAAAACTGTTGTAAATTAATATTAATATTAATTAGTTTATTAGGAATAAAGAAACTTATGATACGGCAAATTTTTAAATCTCATATTGATATATATTCAGTTATAGTTTATATTTTTTATGTGTACTTTAAAAAGAAATAACAAAATATTTAATTATTGACAAATTATTGATTAATAAGATATCAATATGAATCTAATACTATGATTTGACTTATTAATATATAAATACATATTCATATAAATAATGTATATGTATATGTTTATTTATTTTATAATTATTTACGGTGCATAATTATAGATATACTTAGAAAAACAGTTTAAATATGTAAAATTATATTTTTTTTTTAATTTTTGTTTCACTTATGAATTTGATTTTTGTGTATAATACATACAATTATAATTCAATATAATGTTTAATCGTAAAACTATTAGTATATACATATATATTATATGAAATTATTATATTCTTCATAATTAAAAAAAAACGACTGATTGCTAATATGGTATAATAATGGTATAATAATAAGGATAAAATGTTCATAAGGTATTATTATTTAGATATTTTTAAAAATTTTTCATCATAATTATAAGTAAACCTTTAAACAATAATCTATTATATTCAATCCTATGAAAATTGTTGATTATAAAAAAATTTGGTAAATAAATAAAATATTTTATTATAAAATGAACATTCTTTAGATTTCAATTTTTATTTCAAATAATTGTTTTTATAAGATTGATTGATATTGCCATTTCAAAATCATAACTTTAAAAAACAGATTCAAAGCAAAGAATTAATTAATAATAACCACGTTTTTGTTTTATAGCTGATGGAGTGACTTATTCATTTGGTGTTTTATACACAGAATTTTTAAAAGTATTTCAAGAAAGTAAAGGAGCAACTGCATGGATTGCATCCTTATTAGTGGGAGTAACATTGTGCTCAGGTAATAATTAATCTTACTTCCATATTTATTTTTTTCAATTGATTTTACATTATTTTTATGATTTTTTTTTAAAATAAGTATTTGTATATTGTACTTTAGTATTATATAGTTATATGTTGTATAACTCTTTTATGTAGCTGTAATATGTATACTCGTATCATAGACATGCACACAAGGTATGTGTGGTTCAGGTATACTCTGCGAGTAGATGCTTGTTCTAGTAGGCATATAAACAAAATTAGATATAATAATAATAATATTGATATCAGAAATGAAACTACTTAAAAATATACCAGAAACAAAATCTATAAGTGGTTTATATAATATTAATATTTCAATTGGTTAGATTAGTTAGTAAATAGTGGGTACTCAGATATTTTTCAAATTTTTATAAATTCTTATAACTTGTTACCATTCATGTTACAAGTTGCTTTTGTAATAGAGCATTTTAAAAACTGACTATTGTCAAATCAAAATTAAAATTACTGAAGACCCAAAAGTGCTTAATGCATTCATTTTGATATTAATAGAACAACACGTTTCTATTGAAATTGACATAGAGGATGTGATTGAAGATTTTTAAGTCCTTATGTCAAAAAAGAGAAGGTTTGAATTATAAAAATGATGTATAATGTAAATTATCATTTCAATAAACATAGGTATATATAAATAAATTGTTTTATTTTACAGTAAAAAAAAATATATTAAACCTATTATTTTCTAGTAAGTAGTATCTAACAATAAGTTTATAATGCAATGTCATGTATATTCATTTTAGGGGTATTTAATATATTTGCGAGTTTGGGGGACATTTTATCTACCAAAAATCTTGTGAAAAGTCTGCATATACCTATGTATTTGTACTATGAATGAATGAATGTATATTATATTAAATGCAAATTATACACTTACGTCCGCCAAAAAACATCATTATCAAAATATAATGACCACAGCTAGGATATTTTTGTTTCATGTAGTTATAATCTTAATATAATAATAATGATTATTTTTAACAACTTCTAAAACGATAAAATTATTTTTAGTATCCAGATTCATTGGATTATCCCTAAGTATAAAATTTTAAGAAAATGATTGAATGTCTATTACGGTTAGGGTTCTTCGTATGGCATAGTATGGTATATAGGTATACATAGTACATAGCTTGAGACTTTTTACGTTAATTATTGGTATATTATTTTACATAAAATATAATATTTATTTTATAATTTAATTTTGATTCAGTATAATTTAATTTGAATTTGAATCGGTTGCTTTTCAAGTTTATTTCGATGACGTTTGTAATGCGTGAAACTAATGTGATAGAAACGCGTGGCATTTAAACAATTTCATTCGATCGACGGGTTTGATGGTTTTTTTTTATTTTTATTTCGCACCACGAGAACATGTGTTGTCTGTTAACCGACAATGTTTAATTTTATGGACAAGTTAATAATAAAAAAAAAAATTAAAAAATGCAAGAATTATTTCATAAAAATGTATGCTTCATTATCACCGTAAATCCCCATTATATTTTTTTTTTTTGTTGATTTCGATATGTTAGCATTTGATTAAATGTAGTAAATAAATATTTGTTTCTTTATTTGGCGTACTCCTCATGTATTATATAGTGGGTTTAAACCCAAACAGGTCTTTTCAATCCACGCCTATTCAGAGGAGTGTTCTATTTTAAAGGGCTCTTGCCTCAGGTGGTACTGCTTTGGGTTTATATAATATATATATATATATATATATATATATATATATATATATATATATA